CAACAAACTCTCGCTCACACAATTTTGAATTATTTTGTGAATGTCGTCAAACGTGACATTGCTCATTCTTTTTGCCTTTTCATCTTCCTCCAATACAATTTGATCGGTGCGATTTATCTTTGTTTCCACAAAATTATTCACTTTCATAATTTTTGAATTAATATTTGATGTCGTCAAACCCGACATCTTTTTTCTCAGTTTTGCTTACTATTGCATTTGTCAAACTCAAAAATACAACTTACAAATTAGTTACGATTAATAGTCAAGAGGTAAAATAATGTTCGCAAAATACTGTAATATTCGCTTTAATTTTCATAAATTCAAACAATTCAGATTCATACTTTATTAAATGAAAGTAAATTTAACATAAATTATATGTTACAAATAAAAAATCGTCAATAAAAACAATTGTTTACAAGAAAACTAATCATAATTTATTTTTAAAAAAGAAGAAGAAGAAGAAGTTATCCAATTAAATAATACTAAAACAAATTGTTCCCATTTAATAAATGCACAAATATAAGAATGTTCTAATAACAATAGGAACAATCGATCAAATTCTAGGGTTCCAAATTTCCAATTAGGTCTTCTAATCTCAAAATTCACTGAGAGTCCGGATTCAGAGAGAGTTCTGCCGCCGGTTGCCGTCGGTTGACGCCTGTCGCTGTTCGTCTTCAGGTAAGTTCCGTCTTCCTCGTCTAGTTGTTGTCATATACCAGAAAATTGCTGATAATCTTCTCTGTTCGCCTGTTATGTGATGTATTTAGTGAGCTGAGATTATCTGTTGAAGTTAAATTTTTCATGAGAAGAGAGAGATTTTGTGTTCATATCTGTCATTTGTTTAGATCTTTTCAGTTACGTGATGTATTTAAAGAGCTGACATTAGCTGCTGAAGTTCCATTTTTTCATTAGAAGTGAGATTTTGTGTTCATATTTGTAAATTTGTTGAGATCTTTTCAGTTATCTGATGAATTTAAAGAGCTCTTGAAGTAACATTTTCATGGGGCTTACCCGAGGGAAAAATTATGAAGATATGAATAAGCTTCTTTTTTTTTTTCCTTCAATCATTCGTTCTCAATGCCATGTGCCACAAATGAATTGTTTTTTTTTTGAAAATGAAATTCGCTGCAACTTGCAGGAATAGAAATGTTTGGCACCACAACAATATTGCCCCTTCCGGCTCCCCCGTTGGATGGGAATCTGGGACCAATACCTCCAGCTCAGGTGGTAGAGGAACCAGAGGATGATACCATGGAAGAGAATGAAGAGGACAACAATAAAGCCAACAAGGTTCCAACATCTGTTGCTACACATACGAGAACTATTGGTATCATTTACCCTCCTCCAGATATTAGGAGTATTGTTGATAAAACTTCGCAGTTTGTTGCGAAGAATGGTCCGGAATTTGAGAAGAGAATTGTTCTAAATAACGCTGGCAATGCAAAATTTAACTTCTTGAATGCCTCTGATCCTTACCATGCCTATTATCAGCACCGTTTGGCTGATGCTCGCGCACAGAATCAGGCTTCTGGAGAGCAGCCTACTCAGCCAGATGACAATGAAGCAGTCCCTGCTCCTCCTACCGCTGATGGTGCTGAGGCAACTGCTAAACCTGATCCATCAGCTCAGTTTAGAACTGTCAGAAAGGTTCTCGAGCCACCTGAGGCAGAGCAATATACTGTAAGACTCCCTGAAGGGATCACAGGTGAAGAACTGGATATTATTAAGCTTACAGCACAATTTGTGGCCAGAAATGGGAAGTCTTTCTTAACAGGGTTAACAAGCAGGGAGATTAATAATCCCCAATTTCATTTTCTAAAGCCTACTCACAGCATGTTCATGTTTTTCACTTCACTTGCGGATGCGTATTCAAAAGTTCTGATGCCTCCCAAAGGCTTGACGGATAAGCTGCAGAAGAGTGCTGCTGACATGACAACAGTCCTAGAGCGATGTCTGCATCGGTTGGAATGGGAAAGGTCACAGGAGCAGGCTCGACAAAAAGCTGAAGATGAGATAGAACAGGAGAGGGTGCAGATGGCTATGATTGATTGGCATGATTTTGTTGTTGTTGAGACTATAGATTTTGCTGATGACGAGGATCTGGATTTACCTCCACCTATGACCCTCGAGGAGGTTATAAGGAGGAGCAAGATGCCTACATTGGAGGAAGAAGAGTATGTTGAGCCTGGAAAAGAGGTGGAAATGGAGATGGATGAAGAAGAGGTGCAGCTAGTTGAAGAAGGTATGCGAGCTACGACTCTTGAAGAGAATGGTGGTATCAAGAGTGCTGAAGCCATGGCAATTCCAGTGGAACAGGACCCACCAATGCGGATTGTGAAGAACTGGAAGAGGCCTGAAGAGAGGATCCTGGCAGAAAGGGACCCAACTAAGTATGTTGTCTCTCCTATAACCGGTGAGCTAATACCTATTAATGAGATGTCTGAACATATGAGGATCTCTCTCATTGATCCAAAGTATAAGGAACAGAAGGACAGGATGTTTGCGAAGATTAAGGAGACGACTCTTGCGCAGGATGATGAGATTTCTAGGAACATTGTTGGACTTGCAAGAACCCGTCCGGATATATTTGGTACCACGGAAGAAGAAGTTTCAAATGCGGTCAAGGCTGAGATTGAGAAAAAGATGGAAGAGCCGAAGCAAGTCATATGGGATGGTCACACAGGTAGCATTGGTCGCACTGCAAACCAGGCAATGTCTCAGAACAGTGATGAACAGAATGATGCTGCAAATGATGCAAGAAACCTTCCTGGACCGCAGGCTCCTCCACCTCCCAGACCCGGTTTTCCATCTATTAGGCCACTACCTCCACCACCTGGGCTTGCACTGAATATTCCTAGGCCTCCTAATACAGTCCAGTATTCTACTCCTGGGGTTGCTGCTCCGCCTCCACCTCGACCTCCTATGGTTAACATGATTCCTCAGGTTCGCCCCCCACCTCCTCCCATGCCACAGATGCCAGGTCAGCAAAATCTCATGGTGAATCGCCCTCCAATGCCTCTATCAATGGGTATGAATTCTCATAACCTTCCAATTCCACCACCTCCTGGATCACAGTTTACACCTTTGGGAGCACCTCGACCCTTTGTTCCCCACCCGATGTCCCAGCCCGGAATGTCTATGGTCCCGCCGCCTCCTATGCCCCAAGGAATGCCGCCACCCCCTCCACCAGAGGAAGCCCCTCCTCTCCCTGAAGAGCCAGAGCCGAAGAGGCAAAAGCTTGATGAGTCTATTCTCATTCCTGAAGACCAGTTCTTGGCTCAGCACTTGGTATGGATAGCTTTTTTTTTTCCCCCAACTTTTACATAATTGTCTGGGTCTCTCTGTGAATTTTGCTTAGTGCCTCATTTTTCTTACATCCATGGAAATTTTGTTGCCTGCTGGGGTTGTATTGCAGGGACCTGCAAGGATCAATGTATCTGTGCCAAATACTGATGAAGGGAATCTCAAAGGACAAGTTCTGGAAATCACAGTGCAATCTCTGTCCGAAACCATTGCCAGTCTAAAAGAGAAGATTTCTGGGGAGATCCAGCTGCCTGCGAACAAACAAAAACTGAGTGGAAAGGCTGGTTTTCTCAAGGACAACTTGTCTCTTGCGTACTATAATGTTGCATCTGGAGAAACACTTGGTCTCTCACTAAGAGAACGTGGTGGGAGAAAGAGATGAATGGGGAGTTATTTGGCATGTCCTTCAAAGGTTTATTTTGCTACTGTTCGGCATATCTAATCCTTGTTATAAATTTTAAGAATTCTCCATACTTGTTTCATGTTATTTGGGAGATTATACTGGTCGTGTACTTTAGTTTTTCTTTCTGCAATTTAATCAACTTTATTTTCAAGCTGATGGCTGAGTATCTGATACAGATTTTGGCATGTTGGTGATCATCCATGAGGACAACAGGAAGTTTACTAGTTCTATGTCTATAAAGATGCCATGACTGTGGGTTCACGGGTTGTGTTTATGTTACTAATTTGTGTTTGTCTCACCACGTGCAGTTGCTCCACCCTAACTACAGCTCAGTTGTTATTTTGTTGTATCTTCCGAGTCCAAGGCACATTCTGGAATTAGAACTTTTCTGATGTCTTCTTGGCAAACATTCCTTATAATTTTGGAGGTTTCCCTTAGCAATTAATATCTCAAATTCTTCTGTGGACTTTAGGACCTATTTCTGTAGAAGATGTGCTTGTCGTGGTGGGAGACGTTTGTCCCAAGCACACCTGCCTCTTTTGTGGTGCGTTTTTGGGGCACTTGAGTCTTGAGTCTCTATGTTCAAGTTATATGTAGCTTCATTCTTTTTTTTTTTGACAATGGTAACTGTTATATGTTGCATCATTCTTTTCGTTTGTTTTGATAGAGTCTGCTGTATGGGGGGGAGTGACTAAGGTTTCTCTGATGTGCCTTTATTTTATCAACACAGCTTCATACCCCTGTTAGGAGTTGTGATGTATGCTGCATTTGTTGGTTGTGTTGTGAGGTCCTATCTCGATAACAAAGCAGGTAGAGTTATTGCTCTTTTCACTGGTGTGTTCATTTTAGTGTTTGATGAGATCCTGTTGGCAGATATCAAGATTCAACACTTCACTTTTTGCAGGCTTTCGAAGGAAGTTGCAGACGATTGATACATCTTTCTTATGTAACGTTGGGAATTCGTTATATTCTGGCAGATAATGTGCCATCTTAGTATTCTTCTGCTATGATTCTTAAAAAGGAATTGGTTGATCAGTTTATATATGTTTATGCTTTTATGCATGATATTAGTACTAGTGACATATACAATATATTCATCAAAAACAACATTATTTATTCCACATGCCAGCTAGAACTAGCCAATTATTCATCACACTAACACACATACTTATAATGTGTATGGACATTGACATTATATTATTTATTATTCCACATGCTAGCTAGTTGCAAATTATTCATCACACAAACACAGTTACTTCTAATGTTTGTGTGTGTGTATATATATATACACACACTATTTCTGGAGAAGGTGAGCCTCTATATCCTTGGTCATGTCAAGGATATTACCGAAGTGAATGAGGGGTTCTGGGGTGTCTTCAGTTTTCTTTTCGTATTCAATTGTCCAAGTAGTCCATTGGTGGTCACAAGATGTTGTATAATCAAAGTAATTATATAACTCTAATAAATCTCCTTCAATAACTTTCCATTTGATCAATTTCTTGTGAGGATCGACGGCTTCAATTAAGTGCTTCATATACTTATCTTGTCCAGCTATAATCATTAGAAACAGAAAATACAAGAGATCGTTATCCCTAGTTCAACTGTTCAATACCTTATGAAAGATTTAAACATTTACAAAATATTATTTGGTGAGAAAATAATATTTGTGATGTTATTAGTACTTTGATGAATTTTTTTTATTACTAATGATTAGAAGTAATGTTTAAGTGTTAGTAGGAGCCAATAGAAAAAAATGTAAAAGTTAAAATAATTTTAATCAAGAATTAAAGTTAAAATAATTCTAATTAAAAATTTCTTCCACCCATAAGCGAAAGAAGTTATATTCCTTTCATGAAAATTAAAGGATATACTTGTACTATATTTATGAAAATTAAACACCATCGATTTTTTTTTTTCATGAAGATTATTTTCTTAAAAATTAACGTTCTTATTAGTTATTATCAAATACTCCAAATAGAGAAAATTTATGCAAGTAAATCATATTGAGAGAGAGATAGAGTACCAAAAAAATGTTTGTTACCTTCAATATATTTCCAACTAACAATCGAACCAATTTTTACGGTTTCACCTTCATGAATCTCAAAATGGACGATAGTCCTAGGACTTATATTGGGTACCTGATGAGTACTGGTGTGAAAAATATCAAAAAACGAGCCTCCTCCACAATTCATCTCCATTGAAGCAATTAACTTACCTTTCAAACCCATATTTTCTACTTCTTAAGAATATCAATACGTTGTGAAAAAAGTGGTGAGAAAATATTTAGAACTTGTAGTCTTTATATAAACTTCAATTAAATGTGAAATGCTAGAAAGTATCAAATATTTTCCACCACATATCTACGAGTTAATAATTTTGCACCCTCAATGTATTATCATTTTAGCTATTCACACCTTAACCTATTTTTTAAAAATAATTTATTACCTAACCTTTTACTATTATAGCAAAATTACCTTTAAAAAATACTTACAATGTATCATACACATTCCTTCAAAGTGTTAAATGTGAAACAATGTTGTATGATAGAATAAACAAATATTTTTATAAGAACAAATAATTGTCAAAGGTGAAATTAGAAATTTTATTAAAAATGTTCAAAATTTATATATATATAAACATAATTTTTAACTTATGTACATAATATAATTTTTTATAAATATAACATAGTTTTCATTGAATAGTGTTTAATAACCACCTTCACTCTATATAGCTACGCCACTACAAATGGTTAATAGCACATGCCTATCGCAAAAAATAAAGAGCAACTTTCACATATAACAAACATAAAAATCATATTTGTATGTTATAACTATAGTTTGCATAATTGCGCTCCATATCAAATTTTATGTTTGTTATAGAGCTTTTGATTTGTATAATTCGCTAGATACATTCAATTTTATACAAATTGTTCAGTTTTGTATAAATTCATTTATACATTGTAATTTGTATAATAAGATCTGTATTTGTATAATTATAAGTGTATAAGATGAAAATATATGTATTTGTATTTGTATATACATTTTTCTCTCGCTTTATACAAACACAAACACATTTTATATACTTGTATACCGAATGGCTAATTGTATACCGAAAATGGCTAATTGTATACCGAACCAAATGGCAAAAAATGAGATGTTTGCTGTGAATTACAAATAAAATAAACTATGGCTATAACATTTAATTTGAATTAATAATTTGCTATTTCATATAATTTTCCCAAAAATAAATCATATCTATTTGTTTAATTTTCTTTTCCTAATACCTATTGGCACATGCCTATTGTGTGAGATATAAAATTATAAATGAAGGATGTCATATCTCAACCATAAAATAATAACTTTTTAGACTTTGCAAAATATGAAATAAAATAACAAATAAAATTGAAGGATGTCATATCTCAACCACAAAATAATAACTTTTTAGACTTTGCAAAATATGAAATAAAATAACATACATCTTATAATGGAATATTAGAATTATGGTGGTCGATAAATGTCCATAATTTCTTAGATGCTACTTCCATTACTTCTCACCGTTATGATCGTAACCTAGTACATCTTTATAGCCTTCCTCATGATCTTAATGGTTAATCTCATGTTCATGACATTCTTTAGCATTCATTAATATAAGCCCATAAATAAAGATTGTGGATCATACATGTATGTTATACATACTGCATACTTGAATAAACTTTGAAACAATTGAAAGAAAATAAGAAAGTTTCCTCTAACTAGTGAGATGGGAAAAACTAAATGACATCTTATTTTTTTAGTTTTCCATCCAGAAGATGGGAATTCAAATTCAAGTCTAGATCGTGGGTATTTTCACCCCAGACCTGGCACTGACATATGCAACATATTCATCAAAAACAACATTATTTATTCCACATGCTAGCTAGAACTAGTCAATTATTCATCACACTAACACACACATACTGAGGAAGAAAAGCGAGAGTTAGCAAAAGATGTACATAGACTTGCACGCCAAGGAGTCAGACTTATGGATTCCAAAGAAGGAAGAGTGGTGGTGACGAATGGGGTTGAATCATCATTAGTGTCAGAAGTAAAAGACAAGCAAGACCAAGATCCCATTTTGCTGAATTGAAGGCATGTTCATAAACAAAAAGTAATGGCTTTTGAACAAAGGGGAGATGGTGTGTTGAGGTATCAAGGCAGATTGTGTGTACCAAGGGTGGATGGACTCCAAGAGAGGTTGAAAACGGCACAGAGTCGTCAGAAATCCTACACTGATGTTAGGAGAAGAGAGTTAGAGTTTGAAGTTGATGATTGGGTGTATTTGAAGGTTTCACCCATGAAGGGCGTTATGAGATTTAGTAAGAAGGGAAAACTATATTGGCCCTTACAGAATATCGAAAAGGGTAGGTAATGTAGCACATGAGTTGGAGCTACCACAAGAGTTAGTTGCGGTTCATCCGGTGTTTCACATCTCCATGTTGAAGAAGTGCATGGGTGATCCTTTGTTGATTATACCAATCAAAGATATTGTAATCAAATATAGCTTATCTTATGAAGAGATTCTTGTTTAGATTCTAGATTTGCCAAGTTCGCAAGTTGAGAACAAAATAGGTAGCATCGGTCAAAGTTCCTTGGAGGAACCCATTTGTTAAGGAAGCTACTTGAGGAGCTAAGGAAGATATGAAGAAGAGATACCCACATCTCTTCGAATCTGGAGAAGTTCTGAATTAAGGTACTAATCCTTTCTTAATATTTATTTTTAAGTTGGCATGTTGTTTTGCATTTAATTGTGGGTGCTTGAACTGAATGTTGCATGTTGCACCCTTAGCCTAGTAAGAGTAATCTCATTCGAGGACGAATGTTACCAAGGGGGAGATATTGTAACATCTCGCAAATTGAAATAACTAGGAAGAAGCTAATAAATGGAAATAGTCATTTTTTGGAAAAAATGAAAATCTGGAAATTTTGTTAAGTTAGAATAAGTTGAGTTTCGGCCAACTTCAAACGGACATAACTCCTAGATCAGGATGAGTTAGGTGTGCTTCCAGGTATGGTTGGAAATCTCTTGGGGTGATCTTTCCAACGCCGCCAAGTTTGCGCGAATCCGAGTTCGTATGAGTGAGATACGCCCATTGGAAGTTGGGCTATTCAAATAAGGAAATGTCCAATCCGGATTTTTGAAGGGTATTTTAGTCTTTTCCTTATCCAATTAATTAAATTCGTTTTAGTGAATTAATTAAGGGTCTAAACTGAACTTGGTCAGTTTTACGCTTTCGAAAAAGAGTTCGAGTTTTAGAGAAGAGGAAAGAAGAAGAGAAAAAAGAAGGAGAAGCAAGGAAATCGTCAAGTTCGTTAAGTTCAGCTTGTGGATTTCGTCGAGGGTGATCCCTACAAGGTATGTGAGATCACATAACGTTGGGTTAGTTCACCCACACGCCAAGCATGTTTAATTAAGAGTATTTTCGTCCTAAAAAGATTGAGAATTTGATGTTATTGATAGTTGTTCTTGAATTGATTTCGTTCTTGAATATGAGTTGATTAAGGAGTTTCTTGATGTTAAAGTGTTGTTTCCTTGAATTGTTTGGGTTAGATTTTGTGTATATGATTTGGGTACATGAATCTAAAGTGAATTTGAGAAAAAGAATCGAATTAAAACGATTTAGGATCAGAAAACGAGATCAAAAGTTCGTCAGATTTTGCCTGAAAGGAGGCTGGAGCGACGCGCCCCCGTAACTCCCGAGGGGATGGTGCGGCGCGTCAGCAGTGCACCAGATTTGAGATGCGTCCAAATTGTCGTTTTTCACCAGTTTTCGTCATTAGCCTATTTAAGTCCTTCTAAAGTGTACTAACACTTTCCATTGATTCTAACTACTCTAAATGACTTCTAAACATCTAGAAATCATCCAGAAATATGAATCATAACCTTGAATCCATAAATTCAAATTCAAGGAAAGTCAAGAGCCAAGTCTAGGAAGTTCTTAGAGTCTTTTCAAGAAGTCTTTTGCAAATGTTTTTAACTTTGTTTTAAGACTTAAAGTTCAAGTTGAGTAAATAGTAAAGATTAAAGCTTGGAGTTCATTTCTTCAAAAGTATATGGGGACTATGTATTCCCAAAGAGTTTAAAATGTTTTCATATTTAAACAAGAAAGGAAACATCGATTTCCAAAGAGCCTTCGGGCTGGCTTTCAGAAAAGAGTAATTGCTTTCATAATTAAGCAAGAGGGGAAACTTTGATTCCCAAGATAACCTTTGAGCTAAGTTTTTGAGCAATTATATCAAATCACCAAAATAAATATGTTTTTAAACATAAGGAGTTAGTATCATAATTTGGGAGTAGTATTGAGCACTGGTATGGGGGAGCGTTCAGAGAACCCACAACCCCCATAAACCATGTAGCCATAATGGGTAGAAAAAGGTCATACTTTTTAGATGAATCTTTTAATGTTTGTAAGCATAGACTAATGGATCCACTTAGTAAGTTAGGTCCTTACCCCCGACAAGGTATATGATGGTCCTTGGCAGCGTGAGGTACAATGTTGTATTATCACTATAGCTCTTAAGTGATGGTTGTCGGTAAGAGAAACTCCCACAACAGTATTTTGTATTTTTATATACATCAGATTATTTGTATTTTTACATACATCTCAGAGTTATATGTATCTTTGCATACATACAGAGTTATTATTTGTATTTTTATATATATCTCAGAGTTATATGTATCTTTGCATACATACATAGTTATTATTGTATTTATAAATACACAGAGTTAAAAATCATGTTTTAAAGCTTTTCTTTATAATGCATTTATTTACACTGCTTTATATTGAAATCAGTTGAGTTGAGCCAAGTAAGTGTTTCCTTCAGATTCTTTTCAAGCTTAAGTTATGTTTAGCATTCCAACTCGCATACTCGTACATTCAATATACTGATGCCAGTTGACCTGCATCGTATTATGATGCAGATGCAGGTAACCAAGATCAGCATCCAGTGCATCGCTGATCGGGTTGAGCACTCAGAGTCAATTGGTGAGCCTCCTTGATTTCCGAAGAGCTCATTTTTCATTTGCTTTCAGTTTTAGTATTTCAGTTGTTAGAATGATCAGGGGTCTTGTCTCGATATCCATCTCAGTTATTAGATGCTTCATAGATAGATAGTCAGTAGTTCAGTTGTCTTTACATTTTCACTATCTTATGTATTGAGACTTTAGTTGCCAATTTTGCCAGTTAAATGTT